ATTCATGTTAAGTTCTGACAAAACAGTCTACAGATTAGGTGGAAAAAGATGCTACCTTAAGGTATATTTAAAAGAGAACAGTCAATTGTATGAACACATATTTACAAAAAACAAACAAGGGTGATTACTTGTCTTCCACGGTTTCATAACCAGGCTGTACGTACAGTTACAGTCTCTCGTTCTTTCTCCTGTGACGGCAGCAGAAGTTGATTAACTAGTGTGCAGCAAAAAACCTTTCTGCAGGCTTTAGAATGCATAAGTATTCCATTTACATATTTTAATGTTAATGGCAAGAAATAACTATAAAACATGAAATGTGACCAAAAAAATGCAGTATTTTAACATTTAAATTTGGCTGTAAATAAGGTAACATAAATACTTTTTTTTTCTTTTTACATATTGCAGATTTGTCGTAGAAATAAACATGAAGGTTTATATAATCATGAATAAGCCAAAGCATTTCATAATTAGATTTTAATTTGATACCTTAGTGTTCTTGATATTACACTCCCTTCTTCCCATATTTACTAATAGAAAAATCCCACAAATAAGCTATTATACAGGTATAATACCAAAACAATTGTTTTATAGCTATCAACTGCATCAAGCTATCTTTTTCACTACGGGACAGAGAGAAAAACTGTATATAATAGTGTGTACTGATACTTTCTGAATCTTGTTTCAGCAGAGAGTTTTGTTTGCTTATTTGTGACCATGTTATATAGACTGATAAACATGATAGGCAATAATACCAAGTTTCCATTAATTTGGTGATTTTAAATACCATATTAAAGATAGAATCTTATTAAAAACCCTATATCAAATTTATTTAGAGGGAAAAAATCAGTTACTAAAACTTGTAGTTCTCTTTTGGACTTTGAGAAACTATGTTCCAGACAGAGAAGACTTACTAAAACAGAAGAGTAAAAAATAATATAAATTGTCCAAATGAAAAAATAATTTATCTTCTAAAAGTGACACAGTGAATTCAATTCTTCTCGTCCAAAAAATTTTAAAACAACATTAAAATATTGGTCCTTTGAATCTGTCATATCTTTTTATTTTTATATAAATGACTTTTAATCTTGAGTAAAAAATATCTTTCAACTGACAATAACTATCTATCATAAGAATATACCTAATAACGCTAAATTCCTTTGCTGTTGAGGAGCAGTGCTAATTTGTTTTACTGCAGACTAATAACTGCTTCTACCAAATAAGATAACAAACAGGCTTTAGTTTTTGAAAAAGAAAATAACTTCAAAAACTTAAAGGGGCCAGCTCCGTGGCTTGGCGGTTAAGTGTGTGCGCTCCGCTACTGGTGGCCCGGGTTCGGATCCCAGGGTCGCACCGACACACCGCTTCTCCGGCCGTGCTGAGGCCGCGTCCCACATACAGCAACTAGAAGGATGTACAACTATGACACACAACTATCTACTGGGGCTTTGGGGAAAAAAATAAAAAAGGAGGAGGATTGGCAATAGATGTTAGCTCAGAGCCGGTCTTCCTCAGCAAAAAGAGGAGGATTAGCATGGATGTTAGCTCAGGGCTGATCTTCCTAACACAAAAAAAAACAACTTAAAGACGACTTGTCAAAATTAACAAAATAATTTTAAGAATACTTTGTAAATAATTCAGTAATATATTTTACACACGAATTAGTTCTCCTTGATATAAAATTCTACATTATTATTTGTGTACAATGAAGATTGAATACATATTGAAAAACGAAAAAATAGGCATATCCTGGGAAGATGGTAGCAGCAAAACCAGAGTTTTTGAATCTCTGAAAATCTTCACATAAAACCAGGCAGAGCAATAGAAAGAAAAACCAAAAACCATGGACAACATTTAAAACAAAACTAAGTATAGGTATTCCCACGAACCCCAAAATATAAGCAGCTTAGAACAAACCAGTAATAAGTCATAAGACCTTCATAATATCAGTACTTCTCTGGGAGACAGCAAAGGGAAGTCAATTGGGTGGGCATCTAATAGACTTGATAATAGGAGAAACCCAAAATAACTAGAAATCATGTGAGCCAAGTTGAGACAGCAACAGAAACTGGGAGGGTTTTGCCTCTAGTAACACCAAGTGAATGCAAGGGGTAGTAAGGTCTGAAAGGAGCTGGAGCAGTCTAGACCGAGACGTCCTGAAACTGACCAGCCAGGGCTCCCTTCTAGGACAGACCTCACACTAAGGAGAATCCACTGGTAGTGGAATCAACGTGAGCAGGATAGAGAAAAATCAACAGGATGGTAAAGAAGTCCAGGTAAAGGTGGGGCGAGGGGGACAGAGCCAGGAAATCTCAAAAAGTAAGTCACCATATTTCGAACATTAGAGAACAAAAAACAGACAAAGGAGCATGAACGTAGAAAAGCTCATCTGAACCAGGTTCCTTCTAAAAGTTCAGGAAAATGAGCTTCACATAAAAATGAGAAACTAAAATATCAAGGTCTACTCTTATGCAATATGTTAGAAATAGAAGAGAGAGAATAAGAGAATAATCTTCCTACAGACAATGACAGTACACCAGACAGACAGACCCACAGAACACACCAAAACTATTACCTTGTATTTTAAAATGAGATTAAAGTCACTAAGAAAATGACAAAAGCCATAAAAGAACAACATGAATCAGAATTAGATGTGAGGTGACAGAATCCAGGGAAGAATTAGAAATGAAAGAAAAAAATCATTTTAGAAATGAAAACTAAACTAGAAGGAACATAGGAGTGAATAAACACAACAGATAAGCCTTAAAAGAAATAAGTGAAAAGGGGAAAATTTTAAACTCAAAATGAAGATTAAAAAGATTCATAAAAAGGTGACATATATTGAAGATAGGCAAAGACCCAATGCAAATAATAGGAAATCCAGAAGAAAACCAAAGCAAGGAAAAAGAACAAATGCTGCAATAATAATTCAAGAAATATTCTTGAAATTAAGAAAAGGATGTAATGTTACATAATGAAAAAGCATATGGCATATCTGAGAATATCAACACTTAGTAGCTAACACCAACACATATTCTAGTAAAAACTCCTAGGATAAAAGAAGGAAGAAAAACATATGGCCACCTGTAAGCCACAGTGTCACTGTAACATGCTGTCATCCTTGTCTATTCTCTTTCTCTCAAACCTTTCCACTTGTACTCAATTAAGATTCCACATGAATCTCAACTTGGATTTAGAAAAAAAAATTTAAGATTGACAAATGCAAAAATAGATTAAGAAATCAAGTGACATCTTAAACAAAGTATACTAAACACCACATTTGCCACTGCTCTGTCATGAAAGTCCACTAAAATGACAAGTAAGAGATTACAAGGACCAAATAGACGGTAAAAGAGAAGACAGAGATGCGTCAAGAAAATTTTAGAAGCTAGAGCAGAAATAAATGAGTGGAACTTGACTTAGCAGATGAAGGAGGTTGCAACCTAAGGGTCTGTGGAGAGAGGAAACTAAGAAGCAACTTGCTTCTAAACACAAACTCAAGTAAGGCTCACTAATGAAGATCCCGGGTTCCTCCAAAGACAGCATGCAGGGGGCAGGGGGTGAACACAGAAGTCAGTCTCCTCCAAGACAGGCAGCCATTCGTTCACCAACTCCACAGGAGACTTTGGCAAACTTGAAGCATGAGATTTCTAAACTCAGGAAACCAAGCAAGTTAAGTGCAGGGTTAGCCCATTGGAACAGGGGGATTAAGTGAAAAGCCTTCCAAGTGAACTGTGGATAAACTCAGACAGCCCAAGAGAAAAGTATATTCCACCAATTAATGAGCCTCATCCATAAAGAGCTTCCAACCAGCTTTTCAGTGTCTTATATACGAAAGCAACCAAACATCACCAAAGATTTAAGGAAATTTGAAAAAATATCAGACAGAGAGCAAAACACACAAGAAAAAAATTAAGTTGAAGGAAATAGAAGGCAAAAAGCAGAAGAAAACTTGAAAACAACCACTGAAATTAACATCCTCAGAGAGGTAAAATGTTACACCCATGAAAACTGTCAAGCACAGGGCCAAGGCGAGGGCTGAGCAAGGCCTAACAGTCGGAGCTGGCAAAGAAAAACAATGAGCTCTTTTTAGAATCAGGTAGCTCATGCCTTACAGAGACAGTGAAAACAGCAGTCAAAGGTGCCAAGTCCCCATGGCCCTTGTGCAGGGTGACGACAAAGTAAAAGGGACCAGAAGCAAGAGGACGGATGGGACACCATTGCTGAGGAGCTAATGTCATGCTGCAGCTAAGCAACTTTACAGCCTGCAGCTCTGCCCTAAATTGGGCGAGACAGAAAGTCGCACGTCTCAAAGGAACCAAGGAGGCAGACGGGAAAACTGCCTCCCGACATCTTTCTGTAAGATAGGGAGTCTCCCTCAAGAAAAAAAGGCGGATGAGAAAATGTTCTCGCGAGGGTTCCTCACAATACTGCCTGTCTGGCCACGTTCCTGGGAGGATGAGAGGGGGATGCACCAAGACGTAGGCCAGTGGGAGGTTCAAGCTCCGCCTGCATGGCCTACCAGGACATGTGCAAAGTCACCAGGACACCAGGGTGGAGCCACTGGCCCACAGGTACAAGAACAGAATGCTACTTTTTATAAGGGAATATTGAGAATAAAAAATAAAAAGATCTTCTGGATATTAAAAATTATAGGACAAAATTTTTAAAAAATCATTGGAAGAACTGGAAGAGAATATTGAGACAATATGCAAGAAAGTAGAAGAAAAAGACAGAAAATTTAGAGACAATAAGAAATAAAAAATTTAAAAATCAGGCTTAGATATCAATATCTTAATAAAAGAAGTTCCAGAAATAGAGATTGGAAAAAAACACAGGGGAGGAAATTATCCAAGAAGCAATATTTAAAAACTTCCCAGGGGTGGCCGGCGCCATGGCTTAACGGTTAAGTGCGCGCGCTCTGCTGCTGGCGGCCCGGGTTCGGATCCCAGGCGCGCACCGACGCACCACTTCTCCGGCCATGCTGAGGCCGCATCCCACACACAGCAACTAGAAGGATGTGCAACTATGACATACAACTATCTACTGGGGCTTTGGGGAAAAAAAAGGAGGAGGATTGGCAATAGATGTTAGCTCACAGTCAGTCTTCCTCAGCAAAAAAAAGAGGAGGATTAGCATGGATGTTAGCTCAGGGCTGATCTTCCTCACAAAAAAAAAAAACTTCCCAGGGGGCTGGCGTGGTAACATAGTGGTTGGGTTCGCGCACTCTGCTTCGGCGGCCTGGGGTTTGGGGGTTCGGATCCTGGCAGCAGACCTACACACCACTCATCAAGCCAAGCTGTGGTGGCATCTCACACACAAAATAGAGGAAGATTGGCACAGATGTTAGTTCAGGGACAATCTTCCTCAAGCAAAAAGAGGAAGATTGGCAACAGATGTTAGCTCAGGGACAATATTCCTCACCAAAAAAAAACACAAAAAACAAAAAACCAAACTTCCCAAAACTGAATGACATGAATTTCCCCACTGAAAAAGTCCAGCAATGATTAACTCAATGGATGAAAAAAAATTCATCCTCTCACACATCATAAGGAAATTTCAGAGTGCTGAGAATAAAGATAAGATCCTAACAGCTTCCAAAGAAAAATAAATAGGAAACATGTAAGTATCAAGAATCAAAATGACAGGGGCCAGTGGCACAAGCGGTTAAGTGCACGTGCTCCGCTACGGCAGCCCGGGGTTCACCGGTTTGGATCCCGGGCACACATCGACGTACCGCTTGGCAAGCCATGCTGTGGTGGCATCCCATATAAAGTGGAGGAAGATGGGCATGGATGTTAGCCCACGGCCAGTCTTCCTCAGCAAAAAGAGGACTGGCAGATGTTAGCTCAGGGCCAATCTTCCTCACAAAATAAAAGACGACAAATGACTTCTCAACAGCTTCAATGGAGCTGGAAGGCACTGGTGCAGTGCTGTAACATTCAGAAAGACAATGATTTCCAGCCTAGACGTCAACACTCACATAATGTTTCAATCGAGTGTATGGATAGAAATGAGCCATGCAGAGTCACACCAATGAATCAAAACAACTTATTCATTCATTCATTCTTTCACAGGAAGTTGTTGGAAGATGTACGCCACCAAAATGAGGGAATAAGCTAAAAGAGGAAGACAGAGGACTCAGGAAATGGGATGCCTAATATGAAAGAGGAGACAACCAACCAAGCCAGATTAGCACAGAACAGACAGATCCAGGAGGAATGTCTTTAAGGAAATAAAATGATAGATTATACGATGTGTTTGAACCTACCGAGGAGAGATTTACACTTCTGGAGGACGGTTAGGGTGTAAATTAACGTCTACCACACGAACACTGAGCAAATGAAATAAGGTAATTACATTATTCATCCCAAAAAACTTAAAACAAAAATTGGACCAAAAAAGAAAATATAATTACAGAACCAGAAGTCCAGTTGTGAATAGTATTTACATAGTCAGAATAGTATAAATATTGAATACTAACAACCAAAAAGTGTGATGTAACCGCACTGTATTGAGAGGATGAGCGAAGAAGATGTGCATTTAGGGGACAGTAGAAGAAATAGAGCTTAATCTTCACAATCCAAAATAGATCAACAGATAAAATCTAAAACTGAAATATCAAGAAATAGCATAATAATCATGTTATTTAGAAATAGAGATAAATAGAAAAAACCGCTAAAAGATTTGAAAGTGGTTACCTCTTGGTAGCAAGAGCTGGTGTAAAAAGAATAGGAAAGGAGAATACTATTTTTCATTACAAGCCTTGGAAAAAACCTTTTTTGACTTAAAATTATCTACATATTTTGAAATAAATAAAGCAATAAATTAAAGATAACATAAACTTATGGGCCAAAGAGAGAATTCCAGACAGTATACTTACTAAGCCATTCTGAAAATAAAGACTGTAATAGGTAAAAGGAAAAAAAACCCAAACTGGATCATCGCTCATGCCCAGCAACACTACGGGACAAAGGGATTAAATGGATGTTTCATTTTGAATGGGGAGACGGGGAAGGGAAGGGGTTAAAAAATACTTGAACTCAAAAGAGTTCCCTAAATTTCCCAAATTTTATGATTCTGTACTGGTATCACAGAATATTATAGCAGAAAGAAATCTTATATATTGGTTAACAATTTATTTCTCATATTTTATAGTAATTTGTCCAAGGTTACAGAGCCGGTTTGGGTAGAACCAGAACCCTCTGCTCTTAACTCTCACACTTTCCATTGCATCACAGCACATTTTAAAATAATGATTAAATATCAAGGAAATGTATTTGAGCTCCTATTGATATACTCATTAGCACTTTTTTGTCTTAAAAAGGGAGTCTACTTGAAGATAAAGAAAATGTCAAAATATCTAGCAGTTTTAAGTTATAGCATATTGGTCTTCTATTTTTTAAGAATTAAACAGATACAATACAGGAAAAGTAACTATAACTGAACTCTCTTTACCCACTTTTTATGATGGAATAGAACTGAGAATTTTTAAAACTTTTAGGCTGCCATCTATACTTGGCCCAAATTGTGGGTTCATTCCACACCACTTTGTTATTACTTTAAATTTTAGTGTAAGTTGGAATAGAAAAGTTACTTTACCATAATCAATGCTTTTTCATCTTGAAGGCAGTTAACAATGAGAACTCACTATTTAAATCATATCCACGTTTACCAGCCTAAGAGCATTTCAAATGATACAGGCCTTTGCGCTTCATTAGAAAGACTCAGGGAGGAAAACAAAGAAAATGACAGGATTATTTAAAGTTGTGTTCAAGAACCAAAAAAAAGAATTTGTTAACTGCAACTCCAAAGTTTCATAAATACTCTCTATTTCCATAAGATACCTACACTCTAAAATTTATATGTAATTAAGCCAGCTAATAAAACACAATCCCTGCAAGATTTGTATATAAGGAAAATCCTCATACAACATTAGTAGAACATGACTTATAAATAAAATATACTATATTTGTTAGCAAATATAAAAACAACAGTTCCAGATTTCTATTTTAGAAAAAAAATTTATTTTAAGTTAAGGGTCTCTACCTTAATTTATTTTGGTATCGAACAACTACAATTAGTAATGGGGCAAAAAGCATCCATAATTGTGGCAATATTTTAATTTCTTTACAAAAACTATACAAAATTAGACTGGAACATCAACTTATCAAAGCTTCTAAAATTAATCCCACTTTTGGAAATGTATCAAAAGTCTTCAGATCCAGAATGACAGTCTTTATTACTTTTAATTCATGGAATTATATAGCACATCAGATCTTCAAGCAAAAACACCAGATGAAAGCCTGTACGATAAAATATTCTCCTCTTCCTAATAGCTTGGAATGTAAATGAAAATGTGTTCCCTTTTTATTGAAGAAAAAAACTTGAACCATGTGTCCAATAATATGAAATACCTGTTAGAATGGCTTGTCTGCTGGAATTAAAGTTGGGCAATTACTTCTACATTGTTAAAAACTGCCTTAAATTAAGTCTTTTTTTTCTTTTATAAAATAAGTTTTCCTCAGCCATTCCAGATCTCTAAGCCTTATAATGAAAAACATTACTCAGTTTTTACTAGTAAATCCTCCCCCATACGAAGGCATCTTCAAGACGATACATATTTTAAAAGTGCATATAAGCTTAACTAAATTTCTTAAACTGTTAACAAATCTAGGAGCAATAATTTAATATTCTATCATTCTATCACAAAATACAGATAGCCTTAAGAGCGACATGCTTGGTCAATCTTTCTTAAGCTTTTAGGTTTGGTGCCAAAACATTAAAAAAAAAGAAAAAAATACCATTTCTCTTTGCTAATGGGTTTTCAGATATTAATTAATTTGCAGACATAGCTAAATAGTCATCTAATAAGGTATCCAGGTTATCCAGCGATATTTGCCATGAAGTCATAAAACAATAACACATATGTAAAAGTAACAACAACAAAAAAGACCCATATAGGTGTTTTAGCCCTAAAATGAGTTCTCTAATACGGGCTACAGGAGAAATATCATATAAGACCCAAAATAAACTTCAGATACAAAACTTACAGGACGCGGCTTTGTTTAAACACACCTAAACTCCAGGCGCGAGGTATAACTAGGCTGGCTTCTTGACATCGCCAGCTTTCATCAGGGCTTTAATAGCTCTCGCCCTCATCTCCAGTTCCAGCAGCTCCAGCTGCTGTGCAGAAGGCTGAACGTCTTCCGCTGGAGGAACAGTCAGGGCGGCTGCCTTGGGTTCCTTGGGGCTGGACTCCGCCAGTCCCAGAATCTCATTCACGCTTTTCTCAATGTCTTTCTCGAGGTCATCTATCTGGCCAGCTTCACTTTGGACTGTATTTTCTGGGACCTCAGGAGCAGCTGCTTCTTCGTTGCACGGGCCTTCTATGTCGCTGTCATAAGCATCTGCATTTATACTGAGTACATCACTATCTTCCCCTTTGCCTGTAACAAACAAAAAAAGGGGGAAAGAACCATGTAACCTAAATGCCCTGGTCAAAATTCCTCTTCTGTTTATGATTAGAGGGCTGCTTTGACCCCACCTCCCACCATGGAGTCCCAAACACATTTCACCATCAGAAACAGTTATACATATTCTATTACTGAAGAAATGGTGCTCTATAAACTTCGTGTTCTCTGTTTATATTTAGAATTGTCCAAAATCCAAGTGATTGAGTCCTCCCTAACAGTACTGGTGAACACATTCACAGATTCCATCTGCCCATTACACCTGCACCATGGATACCAAAGCTTTGTATAATTTATATCTGAAATAATTTATCTTAAGCACTTCATTTCACAAATGTGAAAGAAAACAAGTTAAGTGACTTGTACAATATAACATGACAAATTATTTGAAGATCTAGGATCATATTTGAAATCTTTTCATTATTCCTTAATTTTCATCATTCTACTGATTTAATTTTTAAAGCATCATTTGCAAACATATGAATACATTTCCAAAGACAATTTACTCTCATCTTCACCATCAGGAAACTATAGGGTTTTTCCTTATCAATTATGATTCTCAAAGTGGAAGAGGTAAAACTTGTACATTCTTTCTAAAAAGGCAACTTTACCCCAAAATGCCTTATTCAAAGTCCTTAAAATATCAGCGTGGTCATGTTCTGTCCTTCCACTCCCCATTCTGCATGCAGGCGAGTGTGTGTGTTTTCAGGCGGAAGCGACTGCCCATTTAAATTATATGAAAATTCTGCAAACACAAGAGCATCTTCAAGTTTTCACATGGGCTTAGGAGTCTGAGAGTACCAAACCAATCTAAGGTACATTATTTCTGCTCCTCTAAAGGAAATAAACACAGTTTCAATGTATGCATGATATTAAACTAAGGTTTTGAAATCCACCAAGAAAAATAAAAGACAGGTGGGTCTGAGGTAAAATAATGCAAATGCAATTAAAAATATTAAGAATAAGAATTCAGACTATTATGTAAAAGACAATAATCAAAAGTCGCTCAGGGAAGAGAGCAAGCATAAAATTAGATCCTGATGTCATAGCGCAGCAAAATAACTGAAGTAACTTTAAACTATACACAAAGAAACCAGAGGATATGATACATTCCTTACATTAATTCTGCTCCTTTCCAGTAAGAAGGGTGGCACCTAAAATACTACCTACCATTTAGAGAACCTCAGAGAAAAGCAATCTAAATGAGGAAATGGAGTAAATAACTTATGGGAAAGGGTTAAAGGAGTTCAAGAGCTTGGCTAAACAACAGTTATAGGAAGAGAAAGTAAGAGCTAAAATATTTTTCAAGAAAAAAGTAATAAAGAGTTCAGGGGTTTATTGAGCATTTCTCTCTTACAGTTGATCCTCTAGCCAACTACTCACCAACATACATTCTACTCCATCTCCTCTGTCTGTATGCTTCCACCATTTCTCTTTTCTTTCGTTTTCCTGTTAGTTTTGTGCTACCAACTTGATCCATACCCCGATCAAACTCTGCACCCAAGTACCAAAGATTTTTTAAATAAAAAACAAATCTATCTAGACTCAGTATCTAGACAGCAAGATGAATGAATTACTATCTAAATTTATCACTGACACAGATGAATAAATGGAATAATTTATCAGAGAAATATTTGTTTCCATTATTCAATGAAGCATAGTTATGAACATGGGATAAAGCCATAAAGGCAAAATATTTGGCAACTAAATAGAACACCCAATACCCTTTAAACATTTTATCGACAAGGAGAAAAAATACAACTAGAAAACACACAATCACTTTAAAGTAATATACTTCCAGTATAAATAAAGGGGAGTGTACTACGTAACAGGGAAAAATAAAATGTAATACCTGTACTTTTATCATCATCTATAACAAACCTCAATGTTTAAGAGCTGCAGGGACTCTCTAAGCTATTTAAAGGAAACGTATTTTATGTCTTAAGTTTGCTTTTTGTTAAAAGTTTTAAATAGAACACCCAATGAAAGTAAACAAACATATAAGAATTATTCACTACAAACATTTTGAGTGGTAAAAATTAAAAAAGGATTTTTAAGTTGTGCTAGCATATTTAAACCTTGAAAGGGCCTATATTATTCTACTTGCTAATAATTCAACTTATCAGAAATAGTTTTAATGCATAAAATCAAAGCATATCTAATGTTATGAGTGACTGCATGCTTGTGAAACTTCTTTGATAGTGACTTATTAAATTAAGCCAAGAGACAAGCCCCAGAACATGGAATAATTAAATATCTGTCTGAACTTCTGCTAAAGATGGCAAATTAAGCACACATATCTAAGTCTCTTCCCTACCAAGAACCCACTGAAGTGACAGAAAAGAGTTACTTAAAAATAATAGCAGAAAAATTATAAATTAACTGAGGATAAAATTAACAAACATCAGTCCTTTCTAAGTAAAACACAAAATGGAGAATCCATAAAGGGAAAAAATCAACAAATTCAGCTAAATAAAAATGTAAGACTTCTGAGAAAGAAAATATACCATAAATAAAATCATAAGATGGGCCAGACTACAAGAAAATATTAGTGAAATACATTTTTAAAAAGGACAAATATAAGAACATATAACAATGTCTAGATATCATTAAGAAATAACTAAAAATATAGGCAAAGGGTAGAAATAGGTCAAGCATTTCTCTAATATGAAATACAAAAGATCAACAAACACATGAAAAAATGCTCAAGCTATTTTCTAATCAGGGAAATGCAAATTAAAACAATAAGACACTATTTTTTACTTATTAATAAAAAACAGTAATTTTATCCATCTGGGGAAAAACTGTTAAAAAAGAAAAAATTTGGTAAAATAGAAAAATGATCAAGAAATATTAAGTTAAAAAAGTAAGCTAAAGAGTGATAACCATATTTAAGCTAAAAATAACATAAGTAAAATATTAATAGTGGTTATTTCTGGAGAAGAGAGTAAAAGAAGAGGGGAAAGGGAAGAAAATGAGTTTCCCAATTTTGCTCTATGAACACATGTATTACTTCAACCATTTCCAACAATATAACCTTGTAAAAAGTTTTAAAAGAAAAATGAAATCATACTATTAATATGATAAACAAGAAAGGGTATCATCTAAAAAGAGATTTTGCAGGGCTTTTACAAAATGAGAGTAGGCAGGATGAAAGTGACAGAAAAATAAAAGCAAAGCAAAACCACAGACAAAGACCCCAGAGATGAGTGTAGCTCTTTCTTAGAGAGTGTTGGAAGCAAGGAAGAGCTGGCTGTGGAACAAACACCAAGATAATTAAAATTAAATTCATTCAGAATAGTTGGGCCAATTGAACCCTTCCTTCTTTCCTTCCCCTTCCCTGCCACATGCCCCAACACTGTCTGTGGGAGGCCTACTCCATCCCCCTATATTAAAGAAAGAGATCTGTTAGAGAAGCATGTCCAAACAGCTACTGGAGAAACCCAAACCAGCTACCAGAAAAACCCAGCGACAATGAATGAAGGACCAAGACGAACAAAGGAACAAACACAGAAAATTTAGGAGCCAGAAGATAATCTAATGAGGGGCATGAGGCGTGAGGGAGTTTACTTGGTATCCTTAGAGAGACTGAAGTGGACAATGCAGCCATAAAAGAAGTACACAGTACCATGAAAAAAGACAGAGAACAGAAATGTTAGAATTTTAAAATACAGTCATCAAAAGCAAACATTCAATGGTTGCTCGAAGATAATGTTAAAAAAACTCTCAAAATGTAGAAATGACATAAAAATATATGTAAAATACGCAATAAAAGTTAAGAGATGAGGATGAATGACACGAGTCCAACAACAACCTAATATAACTAATTCAACAAATATTACTGAACACCTACAATATTGTTTTAAATTCTTTTAGACACTGTTTTAAACATTGAGGAAATAGCAGAGAATTAAAAAAAAAAAGTCCCTGCCTTACATTTAAGTCATAGAAGAAACACTATAAATAAGTAAATACCAGGTGCTATGAAGAAAAATACAGCAGGATAAGAAGAGAGTAGCAGAAATTGCTCCTAAATATTCCCATCAAAAAATAGAACATGAATCTGATCAAGCCTCTACATCTAACTACCAATATACAAAATATAAAGGAATGTTAAATAAACACTGGGCTTGGGATGCAATCAGCAAAATTCAAACTGAGAAACTTGAGCAGACACCAAGTTTCTTCAAGAAATAAACTGCAAAGAGAGGGAGAGAGGGAGGGCGGGAGGAAAAGGGGAAGTATAATAGATTAAACAGAGACTATCAACCAGGTGCAATGTAGGGACTTGATCTGGATCCCAATTCATACCAATATAGTTTAAAAAATATTATAAGACAATCAGAGAAACCTGAACACTGGATATCTTAAGATTAAAAATATGTATCACTCTCCTGCACCCCCTAATGAAGTAATGGACCTAGACAATAACCACAGCTACTAGAACCATTAGGTGTCAGGCTGACAACATCTGGACTAATCGACCAATCTTAACATCACAATACCACCAATGACTACAACTAGTTGAAATATGAACACTTTCTGACTATTTGATGGTATTAAGACACATTACTTTTTAAGGTAATATAGCTATGTTTAAAAAGAGATCTCTCCTCTTTAAGAAATACACACATACTGAAATATTTACAGATGAACTGAAAAGATGTTTCGGATTTGCTTTAAAATAATCTAGCGCTGTGAAGCTAGCTGGTAGGGGTATAGAGGAAAAAGAGTAGCCACAGGTAGATAATTGTTGAAGATAGAGCTGAGTCATGGGAGTTATGTTCCTACTTTCTTTCTTATTTTTGTTTGAAAATTTCCAAGACAAAAAGTTAAAAAAAAAAGTTGATTTCTACTTAGAAATCTGAAACAACATTTTTGAAAATATTTAAAAATATATATATCTTGGAGTAGAACATGAGAAAACCGAAATCCAATATTCCTATCAGGCTAATCATAGAGCAGGTTATTAAAAG